GGAAGGAAAAACAATGCTCCCTTTTCACAAATGCGGGTGACCCTGGAATTATAGAGGTTGTTTTAAAAACAAAGGCAATTGTGCAATGGAGGCACACCTTTCTTTTACACATGTTGAATGGGGCAAAGTAGCTAAATCTGAATAATGGAATTGGAAGGGATCTTGAAGGTCTCTTAATCCAACCCCCTGCTCAGGCAAGAAATATTATCCCATTTCAGACAAATGGTTATCCATTCTCTTCTTNGAAAACCTAAAGCATAAACTTCACGTACTATAAACCTGCAATGCTCCCTGCAATGTGTATTTTCAGAAAAAAGAGCTACAACAGTTTTCAAGTCTCAATGAAGCCGCTCAGGGAGGAGCGTTTACCTGAAAGTAACCTCCGGAACCAAACATTTGACTCCGTTATGGAAAGGCCGCGTGAGTGAAATTGTCTGGCTCGCTTGATTCACCGCAGACACCCTTCCCTGGTAGACTCCCAAGCTGTCTCCACAACTGATCGAGACGATGCTTCCAAGCCAATCCATGGCCATGGTTTCTGGGATTGCTGCAAAACAATCAAAGGGGCCATGAGCTAACATATATTGCAATAGAAGGGAATATCTGTAGCTCAGGGAGGGAGGGAGGGAGGTGTGGTGCCCCTGTTGTTCTCTCAACTTGGTGATTTTCTTGCAGGCGTTTCATTACCCATCTAGGGAACATCATCAGTGCTAGGAGGGTTTGTGCAATGAAGGAGAAGAGAGGAGGGAGAGGAGAGGAGGAGGAAGACTCTGGTGTCCTTATTGCTCTCCGAGTTTGGTGATTTTCTTGCAGGCGTTTCATGACCCATCTAGGGAACCTCATCAGTGCCAGAAGGGAATGAGGTTCATGGAGTGGAGGAGGACTGTGGGCTTCTTGATGCTCTCTTGAGCTTGGTTGCTCTGCTGATGTGGCAGGCGATGAAATGCCTACAAGCGAACCGCCAAGCTCAGAGAGCACCAGGGGCTCTTAGAAATAATTCTTGTTATACCTTTGTCTGCAAGGATTAAATCTTCTTTTATCCACTACTAAACATCCTGGCACGTATATCCAAGCGACTGCCCAAACTTATTCAATCGGTTTAGTGGTCTGTTCTGTCCGCCCATCAATCTGTCCACCAGTCCCTTTCTATGCCCATCCGCCTATTCATCCATCAACCTGTCTATCTGTCCATCCGCTTGTCCATCTACCTCAGTTGGACAGACAAGGCGTGCTGGCTGGGGATTCGGGGAGCTGTTGTCCACAGGCATTGAAACTGGCTGAGGTTGCAAAGCCTGCACCGGAACCCAGAGCCCATCTTTGGACAATCCCTTTAATTCACAGAGCTGGGAGTGGTGGTGGAGGGGAAAGCCTCCCCAATTGAATAGAATAGCAGAGTTGGAAGAGACCTTGGAGGTCTTCTAGTCCAACCCCCTGCTCAAGCAGGAAACCCTACACCACTTCAGACAAATGGCTATCCAAAATCTTCTTAAAGACTTCCAGTGTTGGGGCATTCACAACTTCTGTAGGCAACTTCTGTTCCACTGATGAATTGTTCTCACTGTCAGGACGTTTCTCNCTCTCTCTCTCTCTCTCTCTCCCCCCCCCCAAATAAATCTTTATTTTTCTTGGGGAGGGGGATTATAATTTGATTGCTGGCTATAAAACAAGTCTCAATCAGAACACAACACTTTTCTTTGGGATGGAGGGAATAGAGAAAGAAAATCCAGGAGAAGAACTCAGTTATTTTGATATGAAAGTATTCCTACCTTAACACTTCAAATGGAAAATTAATCCATTTTTGGGGGGGGGGAAGTGGGGGAGGGAAGGATATGGTAGATTACAATTTACCTTGTGGAACGATGATTAAATATTACCCAGCAAGGAACCAGTTCAGTTGCTGCAAATAATCATCCTTTATAGTTTTCTATAAAGGTTTACAGGGTCAATTTAAAGCTTTTTTGGGAATAAAATATGACACTTTGGCTACAACGTGGCATTTCACCATTTTTAAAATTACTTCAATATAAAAAATGAGACGAGCCAGCTTGACTGACAGCTGCCAAGAGATTCTCCCAGATCTTGGCTTGATAGCAGAGATGGAGCCAAGGCCTTGTGTTGAGTGATACACTATGTTGAGTGATAACTGTCTCAAAGCAATCCATAATTCTCAAGCTCATTAAAGACTTTTCCAGTCTTGCTTTTCCTTCTTGCAGATGTTTGGTTACCAAGTCAGGGGACATCAACAGCCTACCTGATGATGGACCTAGCTTGCTAATGAAACATTTTTTGCAGGAAAAGTAAGGTCAGGTCAACAAGAACCCATCCATTTGACCCTTAACCTCCATTTGTTCTCTACTACTACAATCTCAAACATTTCTTTGATGGAGTGTTTGACCTTTATGTCAAATATATGTCTTCGTTGAATCTGTCATCTGCACCCCTATAATTGTCTGGTTTGGCTCTGCAACCCAACAAGACAGACAGAGACTTCAGAGCATAATTAGAATTGCATAAAAAACAATTACTACCAACTTGCCTTCCTTTGAAGACATACTGCACGAGTCAAAAAGGCGGCTGTGAAAATATCTACAGACCCCTTACACCCTGGGCATAAATTGTTTCAACTCTTACCTTCAAAACAACGCTATAGAGCACTGCACACCAGAATTAGACATAAGAACAGTTTTTCCCCAATCGCTATCACTCTGCTTAACAACTAATTCCCTCAACACTGTCAAACTATTTACTAAGTCTGCATTACTATTANCCTCTCTGAGAGGTTTACAGAGTCAGCCTCTTGCCCCCAACAATCTGGGTCCTCATTTTACCCACCTCGGAAGGACGGAAGGCTGAGTCAACCTTGAGCCTGGTGAGATTTGAACTGCCAAATTGCAGGCAGCCGTCAGTCTGCAGAAGTAGCCTGCAGTACTGCACCCTAACCACTGTGCCACCATGGCTCATAACGACATACATAGCCACTGTAGTTTGTTAAACATAGTTAAGAAAACTATGGTTGAATATAATGTATATACTTAATTGCTGGTTCTAAGTTTCTATCAGGCAGCAAAGAAAATGTATAAGGATTACATCAAAAGAGTAAAAGAACCAGTTTAGTGTAGTAATGATGAGCTGGCCCAGGAGACTAAGTTCTAAGCCTCCCTTAGGCATGAAGGCTGGCTGGGCGACTCCAGTCACTCTCTCTCAGCCCAACTCAAATCAGAGGGTGGTTATTGAGGGGAAAATAGGAGGAAGAAGGAGTCTTAGGGATATTTGATGTCTTGAGTTACATGTTAAAAAAAAGGCAGGAAAGAAAATATGTGTGTTATTTAAAAAGTTTAGATTCTAGAAAGACTGCAGAGAAGAGCAACAAAGATGATAAGAGGACTGGAGGCTAAAACATACGAAGAATGGTTGCAGGAATTGGATGTGTCTAACACGCAGTGGCTCAGTGGCTAAGATGCTGAGCTTGTCGATCAGAAAGGTCGGCAGTTTTCAGCAGTTTGAAGCCCTAGTGCCACATAACAAAGTGAGCTCCCATACCTTGTCCCAGCTTCTGCCAACCTAGCAGTTCGAAAGCACGTAAAAAATGCAAGTAGAAAAATAGGAACCACCTTTGGTGGGAAGCTAACAGCATTCCGCGCATCTTTGGTGTTTGGTCATGCCAGTCACAGGACCACGGAGACGTCTTTGGACAGCACTGGCTCTTGAAACAGAGATGAGCACCGCCCCCTACAGTTGGGAATGACTAGCACATATGTGCGAGGGGAACCTTTACCTTTAGGTTTAGTGAAAAGGACAAGGGGGTGACATAATAAAGGTCTTCTAATATTTGAGGGACAAAGAAGAGGGGGTCAACCTATTCTCCAAAGGACCCGAGAGCAGGACAAGAAACAACGGATGGAAGCTAATGAAGAAACAAAACAGCTAAGGAGAAAATTCCTGACAGTGAGAACTATTAAGTAGTGGAATAGCTGGGCTTCAGAAGTTGTAGATGCTCCACCACTGCAGACCCTTAAGAAGAGATCGCAGACCTTTGTCTAAAACGGTATAGGGTTTCCTCCTTGAGCAGGAACTAGAAGACCTCCAAATTACCTTCCAACTCTGTTATTCTGTATTCTGACTATATTCATAGTCAATGAAGAATTTTTTAAAAATAGCAAAATATACATAATATAACTAGGTTCCTAAGATAAGGATGTACATATTTATAGTACTTCCTTGTACGCAATTCCTGAGAGGGAAATGACAGCATCCCCAAAATGGCAGGATAGTCCTCAATATCACAATCCTAAGCCGCAACCCTTTTATATCTGCTCCTACATCATATAAAATGTCAGGGATCAAATAGTGATGCTATCTTGCCTGTCCAAACTTCCACAGGTGCGTGCCCTCTGAAGATGCTGCTGGAGAAAATGGAAGCCAAAAAAAAAGTATTTGGGGGGAAACCTATCATACCTCTTAGAATACAAGAGCAAGAGGATAAACTTCAGAAAAGCTATGAATACATAACATTTCCCACTGATCTCTTTTGAATGTTGGCTTGTGTTTTATTGGACAGAAACTGGTCACCTCATCAAATATTTAATTGATATACCACATGGGTCTGGCAAAACTAATATTTCCTTCCTCCTTCTTTTTCCCCCCTCTAACCTAGAAAGAATTATTTACAGCCCCAAAGGGGCTTTTTTCAAGAGGCAACTGGACTTTCTGGTTTTTCTTGGAAGACGTCTCGCTTCCCATCCAAGAAGTTTCTTCAGCTCAGAAGAAGCTTCCTGGAGAAGTGAAACATCTTCCAAGAAAAACCAGAAAGTCCAGTTGCCTCTTGAAAAAGCACTTTTGGGACAACCATGACTTGGATGACTGAGACTCTCCATAGATAATAATTCAGAGGTTAATACTTGCCCAGGATCTAATCGACAACATCTAAAATATAATTTGATTTTGTAAATATGTAAAAGATTTGTATCCTCTTTTATTCAAGGGAAGGAGGGAAGCATATTCTAGAGAGGAATTATTGAGTCTATCATCTGCATCTCTACAACTGTCTGGTTTGGCTCTGCAACCCAACAAGACAGACACAGACTTCAGAGGATAATCAGAACTGCAGAAAAAACAATGGCTACCAAGCTGCCTTCCATTACCTGTCCACTGCACAAGTCAAAAAGAGGGCTGTGAAAATATCTACAGACCCCTCGCATCCTGGACATAAATGGTTTCAACTCCTACCCTCAAAACATGCTATAGAGCACTGCACACCAAAACAACTAGACACAAGAACAGTTTTTTCCCAAACGCCATCACTCTGCTTAACCACTAATTCCTTCAACACTGTCAAATGATTTACTAAGTGTACACTACTGTTAATCATCTCATCGTTCTTATCACCCATCTCCTCCCACTTATGATTGTAACTTTGTTACTTGTAATCCTATTGATTTATATTGATTGTTTCCTAGTATGATTTGATTGCTTATTTGTACCCTATGACTATCATTAAGTGTTGTACCTTATGGTTCATGACAAATGTATCTTGTCTTTTATGTACACTGAGAGCATAGGCACCAAAGACAAATTCCTTGTGTGTCCAATCACACTTGGCCAATAAAGAATTCTATTCTATTCTATATTTCCTACCTGCAGAAAGTACACTGTGGTTTATCCTGGCTGTACTCATAGGAGCCAGCTCTATCCACAATTGTCTGTGACGATCGTACAAAGGGCACATGCATCGCACTGCGGCTGAGGGCTTCCTGGAGCTGAACAGAAAGAAAAAGAAGAAATTAACTTGTTGGTATAAAACAATTCATTGTGAAATGCTTTAAAAAATGCTCATCTCTCTCTCTCTCTCTCTCCCCCCCCCCAAATAAATCTTTATTTTTCTTGGGGAGGGGGATTATAATTTGATTGCTGGCTATAAAACAAGTCTCAATCAGAACACAACACTTTTCTTTGGGATGGAGGGAATAGAGAAAGAAAATCCAGGAGAAGA